TGCTGCACCTGTGAGTGTGGGCCGAGCACTGCCTATAGACATTATACTATAAAACATGCTTTGCTGTGGGACACATGACAAACAGTCTTGGTAAAATTGGCCACTTACTGTGACAGAGAGTGACACCTTGAATGCCTGTGCAAAACTGACGGCATTGTTATGAACTTAAAGTCTTTTATTTTGTAAAAGCAGACCACGATGTTTGAAAACATTTCTAATAAAGTACAAATCTCACCTTTTATATAACTTTTCCTAGTGGATTTTGTTGTCCTTCTGTCTTTGTTCTGGCCAGCAGTTTGCTAAATAGTGTCATTGGACCTTAATAGTAATAATAATAATAATAATAAAGATTCATTTCTATAACACTTTACAAATCAGAACGGGCCCAAAGTGCTGCACAGTAAAAACATATCTATAGACTAAAGCAATAATCAATCAAACAATCAACCAACAGTCAAAAAACATAGAACAACATGTACACAATGCCGTTTAAACAAATAAAACAATTAAAAAGCAAAAGCCTGTTTAAAAAAGGTGCGTTTTTAATGTGGATTTAAAAACCGCTAACTCAGTAATAGACCTAATCTCAAACGGTAGCGAGTTCCAGAGTCTGGGGCCATAAACAGCAAATGCGCGGTCACCCCATTTCTTAGATTGGGACTGTGGAACCACTAAGGACAAGTTTTTAGAAGAGTGCAGGGCTCTGCCAGGAACATAAATGGATAGAAGTTCAGACAGGTAAAGTGGAGCAAGGTCATGTAAGGCTTTAAAAACAAATAAAATAATTTTAAACTCAATTCTAAAATGTACAGGCAACCAATGTAACATGCAAAGAACAGGAGTAATATGGGCATACCTGGGAGTGTTGGACAATAGCCGGGCTGCCGCATTTTGGACCAGTTGAAGTTTCCTCAACAAAGATTGCGATATACCAGGGTAAAGGGCATTGCAATAGTCTAATCGCGAAGTAAGAAAAGCATGGATTGCTTTTTCTAGGTCTCCTTGGGGTAAGAAGGGCTTAACCTTCATTGAAAGTCTAAGGTGAAAGAAACTGGTCTTGACAACGGCTCTGATCGGCTTATCAAAAGTAAAGTTGGTATCAAATATCACTCCCAGGTTTCTTACCATGTCTGTGAATACGGGCGTAGGGGCCAAGAGACCGGGTACACCTGCGGCTGGGTCGGGGCTGATAAGGATATATTCCATCTTATTTTCATATAAATGAAGAAAATTCTGGGCAAGCCAATTCTTTATATCCCGAATACAGTCGTGCAATGGCGCAATTGCATTTGGGTCGGGTAATACCAATGGCATATACATACATGCATCAGACAATGTCATGGTTTAAGTGGGAATTCCCCCTATTGTCAGGGGACAAGTACTGACCAAATTGCTGCTTGGCACACCAAAATTAGGAGGCTACCTCCTACTGTAATGCACACTGGCTGACAAAAAAATAAAAACAAAGGTTAAACTAGAAGAGTCTCAATCAGAGAATGCTGTGCTCTAGTACACATATCCTGATACTGCTTTTATTATTCTGGGGGATTTTAACCACTGCAATCTCAGGAAAAGCATGCTTAAACTGTTTGTAACCTTTCCTACTGGAGGAAACAAAACACTGGACCAATGGTACAGTAACATTAGAAACACTTTCTCAGCTGAACCTAAGCCTCATTTTGGTAGATCTGACCACCCAGCAATCCGGCTAAAACCTGCTTACACCAAACGACTCAAGGCGAAACCAGTCTCAGTGAGAACTGTTAACACCTGGAACGACTGTACACAGGCTGTCTAGAGGCCACAGACTGGAATATCTTCAAAGGGGCCACAGATGACATCCATGAATATGCAGAGACTGAGTGACTGCATCAGCTGGTGCACATCCATATGATGTTAGTTTATTATTCTGTCTTATTCTGTTTAAACCAGACACCCTGGACCTCCTGCAGTATGCCTACCGGCCCAACAGGGCCACCTCCGA